CCCCCTGTCCCGCTCCCATGGTGGGAGGTGAAGGAGCGGTGCGGACCCACCAGGTCCGGCCTGTGCCGCCTGCTCCTGGTAGGGAGGACAATGGGTACGATTTAAAAAAAATTAAAATATCTGAATTTTTGAAATGTTTTCCCTTCCTCTCTTTTTTTTCCCCTCAAATGGCAGATTCCAGTTCAACAATTTATGCACGATCAAGGAAGTTCAGTGTTTGCTTGTCGGGCGTTCATCCAGGTTGATGCTTCTTTCCTTTATTCTGATTTGCTTCTTCATTATTCTGATTGTTTCTTAATTTTGCCAGCTTTGGGGCGTTTTCAGGGTCAAGAGGGCATCCATTACAGGGAGTCAGCTTGCCGCTCTACGCCTTCCTTACTATAACAGAGACTTCGAAGAGCAATGCCATAACCAAGGAGGAAAGGAAGAAGGTGTTGTGGTGGGGAGGGACGAGGATATGCCTGGTTTGGTGGGCAAACAGGAGCAAAGAGAAGGAGAGCTGGGCACCCATAGCACATGCAGCATGGCAGGGACGCTGCTCGCCTGTCTTCGGGTGGCCATGGCTGAGGGGTGGAGGGGGAACCACCGTCCCGTGACCTGCAGCGAGCCATGGGGAGTGCTGGGGGAAGGCAGGGCTCAGGGTGGTGTAACTTCTCTGCTTCTTTAAAGGCAAAGCAACAGAGAAGGTGGAAAAGACCAACCTGATGCTGTGCAGTATTTCTAGCACTAAGTATCTTCTCTGATGCTTTATGCAGTTTAATTCAGTATCTGTGACTATTTCCCTCTCCCCTGAGGTCTCTCTGGCTGCACAGGTCCCACAGGGGAGAAACAGTCTCAGTTTTCAGGCAGAGTTTGCCTTTGGCTTAATTATTCCCAGATAGCCCTGCAGCATAGCCGGCACAGAAACCAGGCGGATGAAGACCTATCCTGCTGTAAAGGAAACCTCGCTGCAGACTGGTCCTTGCTGCCTGCCCCGAGCTGGAGGGAGGGCAGCTCCCAGGGGGAACAACAGGAAAATAAAGCGTCAGCCACGCTGTTTGTCACACACTTTTATTCCACTGGGGAGGGCTTTGACACCATTGGCAATAAAGTCCTTCATACTGGTGGAAAATAGCTGACTTAATACTGATTGCATCAGGACTAAACGGTGCAAAACATAAGCCAGAGGAGATGAATAACTAGTTTCTCTCTAGTCCAGCCCTGACCTGTTTGTTGTCTTCTTTTGCTTGGTTTCTGCGGCGAGTCGTGGGCATAGCAGAAGTGAAAACAGGCAGGACAGTGCATGGAGGAGGACACAGAGGAGGGGAGAGGGGACCCCTGCGGGGACCCCCATCGCACCACAGATGCCAGCTGGCTGAGAGCAGCGGTGGCAGACCCAGCCTTTCGGTTTTAGCAGGCTGGTGGTTTTCCCTCTTCTCTTTTGACTCGGCAGGGGAAAGTGGGTTTGGAGGAGGTGCGATGGCAGAGCAGCCTGTGCTGGTGCAGGGTGCAGGGACCAGGCTCCCCTTCCCACAGGGGCAGTTTAACCTGTCCCTGACTGTTCCAAGCCCCTCAGCGCCAGTACAGCCGTTCTTATTGCTACCCCATGGCTCAGCTGGGGTCTGTTTGCAGTACAGTCCCAGCTACGAGGGAGTTAGGGCAAGGAAGCAGGTTTCCAAGCTTGGAGATATGGCTGTGTTGTGCTGGAGGGCAGGGCCTGTGAGCCATGCAGCCGAGGATGGCACGTCAGACCACGCAGCCCAGCCCCGCAGCATTTGCCTTTTGCAGCCCCAAATCACCAAGGCACAAAAATACATGGGATTTACCTGTTTCAGGTTGTGCTTTGAGCCTTTGCTTGCCAGGGCAAGCGTAACTTTGGGCACAGGAGTAATCCTGCTCACTGCATTTCCCTGCCGAGTGAGACTCCCCAGTTAGGGTACTCGCATGACCATCTCTGTTTTTTGGCTGAGTGGAAGGACTCTCGACTTGTCCTCTGGCTGAAACAGAGCCAGAAATCTCCTGCCAGTGTGCCTGGTTTTGGTGTGGAAGATAATGGTGATACAATTGCAACCTGGATGGATGAAATGTCCCAGAAAGACCCAGGATATTTACAGGATGTCCTGACCCATTCCTTCCTCATCCAAAACCCTTAGAGCTAAAAAATAACTTTCATCCCCAGAGAATTGCCAATGGAGCATCACTCACTCAAACCAGCCCAGTGCACTCTCCTCTCTTTGGGAACAGAGGAGAAAACCCTCACAGGAGAGGCTGAGTGACACAAGCCCATCTGGGATCTGTGGCAGATTTGGGCAGCCGGCCTGAGGGACTCCTGCTGCCCAAAGGAGCCACCGGGGACTATGGCACAGAGCTGGCACCCCAGGAGCGTGCTGGGGATGTGGGTCACCCCAATACTGGCAGGCTGAGGTGATGGCACGGGATGCACAGACACGTGCACACTGGGGTGGTGGCTGCTGGCTGACATCCCCTGGGACATGCAGGAGTGGGGCACACAGGACCCCACTGTGTCCAGGGTGCTCACAGGTAGCCCCGCTGCACCTACTGCATCCAAAGGGTGGGTGTTGGGGTGGGAGGAGAGGTGAGGAGAGGCTCTTGACACAACCTCCTGCCATGGGTTCAGAGCTCCACCAAACCTCCCTCTACATACTGGACATTGCACTGGGTTGGCAGGGAGGGAGAAGATGTGACTGTCCCTCTTA